ACACACACACACACACACACACACACACACACACACACAAACACACACCAAAAAAGAAAGAAAAAGAATGCATTATACAATATCTATGGCATGAGGCATGATGTGAAGAGCCCTGGAACCAGAATCAGAAAGATGTGAGTTCCAATCAAACCTCAGACACTTACTTGCCATGTGGCCCTGGGCAAGTCATTAACCTATTTGTTTCAGTCAAGTCAAACGCTTTTATTAAGCATCAGTACCAGGGATACAAACAAAGGCAAAAACATGGTCCTAGCCTTTAAGGAGAAGAGGAATCATGCAAACAACTAAAGAAATAAGAAATATACAGGATAAATGGAAGATAATTTCAGAAAGATGGCACTAAGATTAAGGAGAACTGGGAAAGAATGTACAACACCCTATGTTTTGTGACTGAGACTTTCAGAACAGATCTGGTTTTATATGGCATTTGGGGGGTAATAATAATGGAAGATTTTATGGGTTTCTGGTTATAGATAAATGCTTTATAAACTCTGAAATGCCATATGTTGTTGTTGTTCAGTCATTTCAACCACGTCTGACTCTCCACGACCCCATGAGGAATTTTCTTGGCAAGGATACTGGAATGGTTTGCTCCATTTCCTTTTCCAGCTCATTTTACAGATGAGGAAACTGAGGCAAACAGGGTGAAGTGGTCACATGGCTAGTAACTGTCCAAGGCCAGATTTGACTTCACTGTGGACTTGCACTCTATGCACTGCCCCAAATGCTGTATAAGTGTGAATTATTATGAATATTATCATCATTGTTATCTTGTGCTCAACTGTATGGACAGGAATCAGATAGTAATGGTCAAGTTGCTGTCCTGCTAGTATTCTTTCATATTTAATGCTCTACAAGCTATCGTCAAGGTGGATGAAATGCTTTTTGTGACTGAATAAGAATATTAGGTTATAAGCTTATGTCCTTGTTTGTTTGTTTGTTTTTGCTACGCAATGGGGTTAAGTGACTTGCCTAGGGTCACACAGTTAGTAAGTGTCAAGTGTCTGAGGCCAGATTTAAATTCAGGTCCTCCTGACTCCAGGGTCAGTGCTCTATCCACCATGCCACCTAGCTGCCCCCTAGGCTTATGTTCTATAGGAAGGAAACAAGCATTTATTTATTTAAGTACCTACTATGTACCAGGTACCATGCTAAGTTTATGCTATAAAGCATAAACATTATCTCATTTTATCTTCACAACAATCCTTGGAGCTAGGCCCTATTACAATTCCTACTTTGTAGTTGAAGAAATTAAGGCACTCAGATTAGCCCAGGGTCACACAGCTGGTAAGTGTCAGAGACTGAATTTGAACTCAGGTCTTCCTGACCTAGAGGCAGTTAGGTGGTGCAGTGGATACAGTGCTGGGCCTGGAGTCAGGAAGACTCATCTTTGTGAGTTCAAATCTGGCTTCAGATAGTTACTAGCTGTGTGACCCTGGCCAAGTCACTCAACCCAGTTGGCCTCAGTTTCCTCACCTGTAAAAGAATCTGGAGAAGGAAATGGCAAACCACTCCAGCATCTTTGCCAAGAAAACCCAAACGGGGTCATGAAGAGTCAGAAGTGACTAAAAAACGATGGAGCTTCCTGACTACACTGGGCCATGAGCTGCCTCTATAGAGTCACTGAAAAGCATCCTTGAGATAACTCTTGCAGCAGACATCATCTACACCTTATTCTGTTGAAATAGTCGTAGTTGCTTTCCCCAGGTCTCTATGTTTTGAAAGTTTCCATAGAATTGGAGATGAGTATTTTGTATAAAGACCTCCAGTAAAAACATTGTTCTTATGTGTTCATAGAGGAATGTCTTGTGTGGGCAGAGGTGAGTAACAATTGTCTGTAACAATCCTTCTGATCTCAGTACAGTTTATTTGCTAAATTCTCAAGGATTTTTTTTTCTTTATTTCATTGGTTACCACGGCCAAAAAATGACCCTCGATCCCATTCTTCTTCAGTATGGTGGCTGGGTGGGAGAAGAAGGGAAAAAAGCTTCTAATAAGCACATAACTTGATAAACATTTATAAACTTTAATGTGACTGTAGGTGCCCTAATTTTAAGACCTTTGCCCAATGATCAAGTTGCCATATTATTCAAGTATTGATGTTGTTGAATTACATTGATCTCGATATTCATAGAAGAAACAAAACCAGAAGAGGAAAGGAACCTGCAGCTAAATGGGAGGAGGATGCATAGATCTTCTTCAGAGAAGCAAAGAGAGAAGTTGGGGGAATCCTACGTGTAAAGGCAACCATTGATCATCATACATATTACAGTGCTTCCAATAAGTCCTTGTAAAAGAGGCCACCCTGCAAATAATTGAACAGTTTAGTAAGCATTGTTTTCGGGGGAAGCTGGACTAATTCACAATTCCAGCAACAGCACATTAATATGCCTGTTTTCCCATAGCTCCTCAAATTTTTGCCTCATT